TCTTCGAACTTATTAACGAGGGTATTAAGACAACCTGATGAAAGGTAATAACTTTAGGATGCCTTAAAATTGCTACTTTATTATCGTGTAATAAGGTTTGCAGAAGCTCATTGTGTTCAGAATTTTCAGTATAACTATTGTTTTGACGTCTTCAAATGCCAAGCACGCCTGTACGATGCACCCGAGAAAATTTTTAAACTCTGTCAGCCGTGCAAAGAGATTGCATCATTAATTGCATCATTGATTAAGCTGAGAGAAGTAGAACGCCGTTTTGCTAAATTGCCTGCAGTATAGGCTGTTCTAACCCGATTGTGAGCAGATGTTGGTGTTAATGGATAGATGAGGGCACATATACACGGCGAGCAAGCTCTGGACACTCTAGACAGATCATTAAGAAAGATGATCGTGAGACAAGCACAAACATCTGCAATGGCGATTGTCCACCATTCGGATACAGATGGAAGCCTCGCTACAAAATCCCGTACCATTGGCAGGTGACTAGCAAAGGCAAATTTGCGTGACAACAATCGCTATGCGTTCTGCATTCAACATTATCGGCTTTGTTTGCAGTGATATCATGATAGAACCATGAACATATGCACTGGCAGCATATCATCTTTAATTAGCAACGGATTTTAGTTCCGTTTGGAAATGGACTGTTTTGGAAACAACCGCTGTTTTAAGGCTGCTATACACCATGGGTTAATCCTCAAAGGAGTAACCATGCATGCGTGATTTTGAGTCATTCCTGGATGTGTGGGGGGGAAAATTTAACAATTTCGGCGAACTGTACCGACCACCTGAGTAGAATCGGCCATATTCTTTAGGTTAATTCCCAAAGGAGTAATCATGCATGCCTGACCTTTATAATTCTTGGTAGTTTATGGGGGACAATTTAACAGCTTCGGCGACCTGTCCCGACCACTTGAGTAGAATTGAAAAACCATTTGATTTTCCTGGCGCAGTGTCAGACTGCGCAGGCCGACCTAAACGTGTGTGAGAACAATGTCTCGTGAATGTTTGGAAGAATTATTTTCTATAACCTTATTAACTTTTATTATTTATAACCTAATAAATTAATTTTTCAGGTTATAAATTATTTTCGGATCAAAAATTTCTTGAGTAAATTAAAATTATAAATAATTTTAATATTTAGAAAACTTCTCAATTCATTTCTTCCGTTTTCATAAAACATCTCGATACTCTTTATCATTTTCTTCTACATTTTAAAAAATTTATTGTTTTAATATCCAAGTAAATTAAAACATGACAACTTAAAATAAGACAAAGTTTAATAAATTCTTTTTAATTATTAAATTATAAAATTAATTTGCGATAATAATGTTTACAATTTGTACTAATATCGGATGTGGTTGAGAATTATTAATATATATTCGTCTATAAAATTTAATCCATGAATTTTTTTGGTAGTAAAATCGACTTGCCATTGTCTTTCGCTGATAATTGATGCTTTTTAACATAATCTATAGCCCAAGATTTCTCTTGAAAAATTAATTTTGTTGTCTGAAATAATTCCATTAAAAAATTATTCGTATGAAAAATTAATTTTGTGATCAGTGCTACCCAAACCACCACTACTACTATTTACACCATAAACTTTTATGCATACTTTTTTCCCGCGAGTTTTAATAGAATTTGTTGCCAATAAACATCAGTGGCGTAATAATAAACACAATGACGTAGCGAACATAACTGCACCTGGGCCGCGACACTATATTGGCACCCCCTCCCCCTCCAGAAACAAATTTTGTTATTCTTGGAAACCATTAGGCTCCCCTCTGCCAGTGGCGCCCGGGGCAAGCTGCCCCACTCTCTGCTGAGAGGTTTTCTTCGTTTTTGGGCGATAGGAAATTCGGAAGTTCCTCACGGCCAGGCAGCCTCAAAGGATTAACCCATGGTGTATAGCAGCCTTTAAAGTGTAGCAGATCATTGGTGAGCGTTTCAGTTCCGCCTTTACTGTTGAGCGGTACACAGTTCCCACTTCTGGTATGCTAGTCAGGGGAGTCATCTTGTATGATGGTTGGTCATCCTAGTAGCGATATAAGGGACATTGATGACATAGCGGCAACGACTCAATAAGGTTTTAATCCGAGGGACATTTTTTCCGCTTTTATATCTATAGGACGTACAAATGAGTTCAGATTTAAAAAAAATTTTTTGCTTTTAAAATTTATTTTACATCGTAAGATATTACTCGTATTAAAAATGAAATTCACAATTGTTTCAAAGGATTAAACGAAATATGTAGTTAATGACTTTTTTCTATATTTCTGAAATCATTACTGTCTTTACCTGAAAATGAATTACAGTCGACCCCACTGTTGATAATTCCGTGTTATATGAATTCCATGTTATACGAGTTACTTAGATTTTACAAATATGTAAGCCGTTCACAGTCCGGCACGTGTATTTGTAAAATCTAAGTGACTCGTACAACATGGAATTCATATAAAACGGAATTATCAACAGTGTTATAGGGGGTCGACTGTAATTTGACAAGCCCACCAATAGCAGAGTGAATAAAACCACAATCATTGGTAACTACTAGTGTTTGTGGTTTCCAGTCCAGTCTAACACACGTGGCCTGTTTCGAGTCTTGCCCTGTGGCGAGACTCGAAACAGGCCACGTGTGTTAGACTGGATGTTGCTTTTCGGACAATTAGGAGAAGTTATTAGATTCGCGTAACTAGTTATGTAACAAAGGAACAAAGATTACACAAAATAACAGTCTTGACTCACGGAAGGTCATCGCTGAACAGGGGAGAGTAAAACGAGGTCACCCTCACCAACGGCTCTCGAGGGGTCAACAGCGCCATCAACTTTTTATTACGCAACAGGAAAAATATTTACAAAACATCACCGCGACACAATGCGTTGTAGGTATACACAACGTGGAGTTTTGCGGGTTTTCTTCACTCATATTTCAGGCATGTAAACACGAGAAAGCCACTGCACATGTCGGTCCATAGCAGCCTAAATAGCAACGGCAGTTCGTCCCACTGGTCAAGAATAGTTTCAATGCAAGAACCATCCTCGTTCCTCTAGATAAGGATCCACCAGTGTCTAAGCGGTTCCGTTCCTTGAACACTGGCTGGGTTCGCGCCTTGCATTCCGTGGTTTTCTCCACGTCTATAACGCCTGAATAGGGGCCTGTTACCTTTAAAAAGACCTCCCGAAAGGCATCCTTCCTAGGCAGATCGCCCAAGTGTTACGTTGCCGTAACTTAACGAACAAACAAACATCCTCCAGACAAAACTAAAGATGAAATGAAACTCGCAAAACATGCTGGATGTAGTGCCTGACCAAACTTGATTTCAGTTTCGAAATCTAGTTTCGGTCGAACGTTAGCTGGATGCATCAAACCACTCGATAATAGGCGAGTCATACTTTTCTCGGTTGTGAAGGGGTGAGAGCTAAGGATAGTAGTCATGATTCAGAATAGATATACCTTGCCCTTAACCGGCTGTGGTGTTGTAATCGTGGTCTTTTAGTTACGATACATCGTGGCCGTTTTAGAATACTAATATATTTTTATTCTATGGCTGTAAATCTTCCAGAATTTTTATCCCCCGCCTAAAAATCATTTTCTCCTTCCAAAAATTTTTTTCCTAGGTTTCCCCAAAATATTTCTCCCCAGATTTTCATATAGATCAAAAATTTTCTCCTAAATCTAAGGAAATTTCCTCCAACTTGGTAACACTGAGCATCATCATACTTGGACGACTCGAAACATAGATTAGAGAGATCAATCTGTGACTGGAACAAAGCTGGGGGTTTTCAAATGGTTGGAATGGCAGTCGATAAAATTTGATCTTGATGCTAATTGTCACGTTAATTTTACCCCCTGTGGGCGTCAGCTCTTAGGGTTTTTCAAGAATGTCCATAGCATTCTCACACTTGTATGGCCTGCCCAGTATCCAAACACATCTGGAAACTGGACAAGCCATTAAATGTGAGGTAAGCCGATTAGAGTGAAGAGCGTTCCGACAGCCGAGCGGTCATTACCGTCGTGAGGGCGCAGAATGACTCGTGGAGACAGGTGTTCCGTAAAAGAAAACCGTTTAATAAACATTGAAATTTCCTTATACAATCCTAGATTGTCGATGTTGTACCACAAAAAAAACAACAAAAAAGAAACAAAAAAAAAACGAGGACAAAGTCCGAATGATGTTCGAAAAGTTCTGGTCTTCGTTCCTTGTAGTTTGGAGGACGCTGCAACTTCGTAGGTCCGGGGTTTCGTAAGGCTTGCGGCGGCTTCTCGTTGGATGAAACGACGAAGCTGTAGATCCTTGGACTCACTCAGAAAACGATATTTCTCCCAGGTTCGTAAGGTTATTGTCCCAAATCTCTGACACACACACGACCAAGAGAGGAAACTACGCATCCAAGAACCTCTCGTAACATGAAGCGCCCGGTTTTATAGATTTCTTAACTGCAATCGCCTCTCATTGAGGGTGCGGGAGAGGTCAACGTTACGACCTGAACATGATTACAGTACTCTTTCTCGTCGCGTTTTCCTCGAATGTATCCTTTTCCATTGTTTATTTCAGATCTTAAATTTCGTCTTTCGCGTTATGAAACGTGATTCGTTTAAAAAGTCATCGAATGTCTCCTTTCGGACCCCGTTTGGGTCTTTACATAAATGATATATAATTATTATTATTGGGCCTATCGAAATCCACGATATAGGCTTGATAATAAGACCCTCTTAGTGTCCACAAGGAAAAATAGTAAAAAAAAATGATAACAAAACAAAACTACCCATAAAGTAATGATCGTTCTATAAATATTTTTTAATATTAATTTCTTGATAACAAAAATGTAAAGAGATGTTCAGTATTACTGATAAAATTTTTGAATACTATATTTAAGAAAACGAAGAAAATGAGAAAAAAAAATTAAGTTCTGGTTAGTATAAGTCTACTGCAACAAATTTCACATAATATTGAAAATATTTCAGTTATAATTTTTATTTCCACATCTGTTGGAAGGATACGTCACGTAGTTTCTGCTCGCTTGAGACCTAAATGAAAATATTTTGTAATTAATTTTAAGAACATATTTGATATAAATGAACATATATAATCGTACTTTCGAAACAGCCATTTCAAAATCTTCTTGCGTGACGTGAGTTCTCCTTTCTCTGAGTGCACACATTCCAGCTTCTGTGCATAAACATTTCAGTTCAGCACCATTAGCACCCGGGATCATTTCCGCTATTTTGTGCATATTAATACCTCTTTTTAAGTTCATTTTTTTAGAATGTATACCCAAGATGTCTAAACGAGCCTGTAAAGTATTTCATACATATTTAGTATTATAAATATTGAATCTAAAATTAACCGCAGACCTTTATCGACTTACAGATTCATCTGGCGAAGGAAAGTATATTTTCCGATCAATCCTTCCTGGTCTTAGTAATGCTGAATCGAGAATATCTATTCTGTTGGTAGCCATTATAACCTACAAAAAAAAGTTCATGTAGACTATGTTATTGTTGGTTGTTATAATCAAAGAACCATACCTTTACGTTAATAGAAGACTCAAATCCGTCCAATTGATTAAGCAATTCGAGCATGGTTCTATCAACTTCGCTATCTCCGTGCGCGTCCTCGCTTCTCTTAGTTCCAATTGAATCAATTTCGTCTATAAATATGATGGATGGAGCACGTTCTCTAGCCATAATGAACAATTCTTTTATCATTCTGGTTCCTTCTCCAATAAATTTCTGCACGAGTTCCGATCCCGATACGCGAATGAACGTGCAATTTGTATGATGTGCTACTGCTCTTGCCAAAAGAGTTTTTCCCGTGCCCGGTGGACCGTACAAAAGAACACCCTAAAAAATTAGATTGGGTTTTTTTCTACAAGCTTATAAAAAAAAACTGAAACTAACTTTCGGTTGTGTGATGCCAAGAATGTCGAAGACTTCGGGATGTTTCATTGGTAATTCAATCACTTCTTTTATTTCACGAATTTGCTTGCTGAGTCCTCCTACCTCCTCGTATGTAGAATCTGGAACTTTTTCTACCATCATTAATGTCACCAGTGGATCAACCTAGTCAGAAAATCAAATTATATAGATCTGAAATGCAAAATAATTTATATCTACTAGGGATCGAACTTACTGAAGTGTTTAGAACTTTATAAAGACTGTAACTATCGTGATGAAGAGCGACTCGTTTATTGACAATGATGTCATTGACATCGATGTTCTTATCGATATCGACTACGAATTTTCCTTCAGGATGTACCTAAATCGGTCCTAATATAAATAAACTTTTGATATAGTTACCAATAATAATTTCATACCTTTACGAGTACTTTATTCGAATCCAATTTCTTAATCACGGTGCCTATATGTGATCCATTCCCCTTTAGCGAATCTAATTCCTCTCGAATCATTCGAACTAAAAATAAATTATTTAAAAATTGAAAGAAAAATACTTATTATTGTATACATCTGCTGATAATTCTACAAAATACAATTTTATTGTTATCTGGTCTTATAATGATTATGTATACATTATTAATAAATTTTGAATTTAGTTTTTTTTCTATGTAACCATGGCTGTACTGCTACGAAAGTGGAGTAATAAACATTTCTGCCACTTCGAGCGCTGTAATCACTTTGCGGCGTAAGTTTGGCTCGAGCACAGACGAAGTTGGTTGTAAATATTCGAAATTTTTTTTTAAAGATGAAATTTTTTCGTTTTTAACTCAGATATTGCTATTGTCTTTTTAAAAGACTATTTGTAAATACTAATTTAATTCAGTTTTGAACATTAATTATTCATAAATGTCGTCAATATTTATAATTCTATTAGCTGTCACTTTCACGATTTTAGACTTAAATTGATTAGACAGCTTGTTTTTGCCCACAATTTGGATTTTAAAATATTTTCGGGAGTTTTTATTATGGGTAAGAAAAGATAGGGCCAGTTATAATTTTTTATTATCTATACATTATTAATATGGGATGCCATCGGTGAATTCTTTCTGAGTCAGGAAAAAAAATTTATAAGAGTTAAATAAATTTAATTATGGATATTATAGAAATGTTAAGACAAGCGTTGGAGTAGTTGAAGTGTTACAAAAAGGGGATTTAGAGTGGATTTTGGAGTATATGAAAGTTTAACTTTAAACTCATATCTTTTTTATTAATATTAAGTGAATTATTTCAGGATGCAGTGACAAAAGAGCTACGGTATATGCTATTTACCATTAACATTGTGTTTATTAGCGAGGTTGCGGCCAAAGTTTTCAACGCGAAATCGTGAACGTCAGACGTTCAGCGCCGCCGTCCTGTAAGCCTAGAAGTTTGACAATGGCGTTTGGAACGTCGAGCATGATTCCACTGACCGTTTCTAGCCCTATAATATTCGGCATTGGTTGGTGTGTAGCTATACAGGGTCTAAAAGACATGTTACTTGATATTTTAATCATATATATAATATATATATGTGTGTGTGCGTGCGTGCGTGTGTGTGATTAAAATATCAAGTAACATGTATATATATATTATTTGATTCAGTAATAGTAAACAGTATTTGTGATGGTACATTGTGTTTACATATTTTAGTAGTTTATAAGATATTCTGCACCATTAACAGTAGAATATGAATGTAGATTTATTAATGGCCTACTCTGACGTCTTTCCTTGATTTTATGTAGGTCTATATATATATAACTTATGAAACTCAAAATGCAAAGTGTACGACATCCCAAATACTGTTTATTTTTACTGAATCAAATAAAATTGTGTACTTCATCTAGTATTAAAATTAATAAATTATTTGAAAAAAATAAAGTTTATCTTTATCTGAGTTAAATTTCTGTGGCTGCTTAAATGAATTAGAGGACAAGCTGTAGTTTTTCTAATTATATTATCACAGATATGCAATGAAATACAATATAGAAAAATGCAAATGCATCTATTTATTAAACAGATATACTGTATACAGAGAAAATTATATACTGTATAAAATTTGCATACACAATACGTAGCAATATAAGTTTTAAAATAACATTAAAAACATTTTAAAAATTAACTCAATTTAAAACTGTAAATAAAAATTTAAAAATATTAAAAATTGAGATATCAAAATATTTTATTTTCAAGTTAATTTATCCAATCTGAAAAGCGGTTGATAATAATAGTTGATATGCTAGTATTCTGCAAACAATTTAAAATGTTTTGGAACTTTAACTGACAAATATAACGGGTAATTGGAAAAACTCGAAGGATAAGCATCCTATGTTAGTTGCCATTTTCCACCTGAAATCTCAGCTCTTACCCTCAATTATACGCACATAATTCTTAATCAGAAATCTTTCATCAAAACGCAAGTCACATATTAGCGATTTTCTTATGAGTTGTAAATATTTTTGAGGTATTATACATTTCCACTTATCTAATTGGTTCTGAAGTAGTGTAAAAAATGTCACTTTTCACCAGATTTGCAGTAGCTAGACTTACACCTAGTCACAAATACTTATTCGGAGTGCTGTTGTTTATTTTACTTGTAGAAAAAAAATCATGAAAACGCTTGACACTACTAATAAAATGGATAAACTAACTTCTCGCCTCAAAGGGACTCGAGTGCTAGCTATTGACAGTCTGACACATTAATTCTACTTTAGAACATAGCTAACAGACTAGTATATCTATGAACTCTGCTTTTACTACTATTAAAATTTACCTTTGTCGTTTAATAGATTTCTTTCTGCTCGAAGACGTGTTAAGTTTTCAATTTTCTCCTTCACCAACAACTACAGTTGTTAATTAATAATTTTAATTATATTTTATTATTTTATATATAAAATTATTTATATGACGTAATTAATCGTACCTCCATCTCTTTTATTTTGTGCTGATAAAATATAGTAAAGTCTTTCTTTTGATTTACTGTTCCAACTTTCAATTCTTGTTTTTCCTGAAACCCAATAAATACAAGTAAAATAATTTAAGAAATTTATTTCCCAAAAACAAAAGCAAGATCTTCGCCAACTCTTCAAATTACAGAAAAATAAAAATTTCTTGATATATATATATACTATTTTATTCTAGATAAACTTTCTAGATTGTCAATAAAACTAATTTTTATGACGTTTTAAATTATCTGTACTCTTCAATTTACAGAAGAATAAAAACGTTTTACATTTTAATTTTACAGTTTTCTTAAATAAAAAATTTATTTTGAAAATTGAACTCAACATCCTAATTTAAATTTTTATTGCTTATCTATGATGGCTATGTTAAGGACTTAGCACAACATTTTTTGGAAAAAGTTCAAGTAGAAAACAAGAAACTATTTGCTGTGCTAGTACTGTTTTGATTAAAGATGCATATCAGATTTTCACATCCCTCTTTAGTTTAATCACGTTGGTTTGGTTTGGTTTATTTGTGTACGGCAACACGACACAAAGGCGATGCCTCCCGAGTGGACTTTCTAAGAAAAACTGGTCCGTACTTAGGTGACAAAAACGTGAAGAAAACCCAAAAAATTCAACATGGCCAACCCGCTAGAGATGCACGAATCCCGACCAACTACTAGTGTTCAGTAGTTTTATCCACTCGGTCACTGGTGTAGCAAATCGTATTCGTAAAATTTAGTTTTAATTTATTTTAAGTTTATAGGTTTGTTGTTATTACAAAATATTTAAAAAAATTATTACTGTTATATCGTTTATTTTTTCATAGAATGGTGTCCTTAATTAAGTTTATATAAGTTAAGTTTAACCGTCGTAGATGCTATAAAAATTTAAACTAAATAATAAAGACAAAAAGCAATTATCTATAATTAGTTCAACATTCGAAGTTTACATTTTATTAATAATCTATGGATGAATAAGCAAACTTAATAAACTAAAATACTAAAGAAAATTTTTATTAGACTTATTTTTACCTTGTAAATGTTGAATTTGTCTAAATTAGATTTTTTCTTTTCTGAATAATTATCATTTGTCTGCAATTCCATTTTTTAAATAGTAAAATAATTCATTTCACTTTTAAAATTGCTTGCAAATTTTAATTCTAAATTCATTTTATTCTGTTTTTTAAATATGTTTTTTTTTATTTTCGAAATCGTAAACGAATATTTTTACGCCTTAATATTTCCCAGTTTCCAAATTAAATGAAAAAAATATAATCGAATATTATTTATTAGAATTTTTGTAATATTAATTAATTAAATTAAAAACTCGTTTTTCGGACGGCTGAGCACTTAAATTAAAGCGCTACCGCACTGGGAGATCCGGAACCGAATTCAGACGGATAAAAAAGCACCGTCAATTTCTCGGGGGTGAACCTTCCCAGATATGTCGGGTCCAATCCCTCACCATCCAGTCGCCCAATTGTGAGTCTGGCTAAACCCATAATGGACTTGCAAAAATGGTCCTCTACTAAGACCATTTTTGCAAAGAGGGAAAAGATTAAAAAAAAGACACTTAATAAAACATTTAACACCTTCTATCGCTGAGAATACTTTATTTAAACACAAACGTTTTCAACATAATGGAATAGGCCATCTTCAGGTGAACTGGCATTCGAACGTATTTCAAAATTGTATTAAACGGAACGTTCGATCATTATAAATTCAAAATTAAAACTAGTATTAAGTGTTTTTAAAAGAAACTGAGTTTGATATTTAATTTAAAAAAAAAAGACATTTCCCGATTTGAAACATTTTTTTGTCCTATTGGAAAAATTTTCCCGATATGTCCCTATTTGTTGATTTCTACTATAAATATTCCGATTTATACTTTAAATAAAAGTCAAATAAGAATTGTAGTCAACGGGTATTGTGTATGCACGCACCAACTTTCCTCACAATCTGAAAATATTATACAGCTTTTGGGGTTCGATCCCCTATGCGAATCGCTCGTTATTGTTGAAAATACGTTAGTCGGAATTTAATATCTCTTTCTTTATTTGCGAATATATATACAGTAATGTACAATCAATGTATATACAGCTTGACATCGATCGAAGGTTACAGTTGTTTGCACTGACCGCTTGTCCTAACGTCCGTTTCCAGTAGCTGTTGGTCGGAAAGTGGGTGACCAGTTCAAAGTTCGCTTTTTTTCTTTTCTTGCGCCCTCTATCGTCCGAATCGGCACGTTGCCGACGGGCGCCACAAGCTCTCCCTTGATAGTCCGACGTTTTTTTAATCCGACATGCTCAGTAGTCTGACGCACCTCCCGTCAAGGTACCCGTCCCCGTTACATGTCTGCTTGCACAGAAGAATGCCGCGACATGAATCTCCCCATCCAATTCTTACACGATGACACGCATTTCGTGTGTTTTCTGTGAGCAGTTCTGTTCGAACAGTTGGAGTAGGGAATATTCTAGGCTACTGCTAGCAAAACAATGCAAAATATGTAATTATTTTCGGTAATCCGGACACTTTTGGTAATCCAACACACCTTTGGTCCCATACCTGTCGGACTATTAAGGGAGAGATGTAGTCTAAGTACTAGAACACGCCACTGATTCGACCGAATCTCACAGTTCACATGGCGAATAGTAAAACAGCTTCTGACCAATCCTTGCTCGCCAAGTCTTCACAAATCTCACATACGCATCTAGTATGCATCGTGTTCTGTGGCCTTGTGTTGTGCTGTGCCATGTCTTTAAAAACCATCGATGATTTTTGCAATTATTGAGAATGGATCAGTAAATGGTTACATCTGGCTATTGTATAGTTTTTTGTTTTTGCTTTTTTTCTCCTGTGGGCACAAAGAGGATAACCCCTTCAACCATGCACCAGATGCGGAACGCGTTCTGCAGGAATTTTTAAATGGATTCGTGCGCGCGGAGTGTACACGGAAAAATAAAAGAACGGATCCATTGTCTACAGGGAGTTTTTTCAGTTGATTAATGGCATAATCAAATTTGTTATTATAAAGCTACTTCCTAAATCATGTAATAAATGATTAGTTTAAAAATATTTGCAGAACCTTTTCAGTCATTTTTTTCAATGTCAGGGAGGTCCGTAAACGTATTTTCAAAGGATATTTGCCGAAGGTACATCATTATTTATATACAGGAGGGACGGAGAGGATCAAAAGTGGCTCAAAAAACTATACACGTTATTAGATGGACTAGATTAGAGTCGCCACAAGTTCAAAACCAGAAATCGGGACATTGTGAAGTAGCATTGAGATAAAAATTGATTGATATCCAGTATTAGGTAAGTAATATCTTCTCTGGAAAATAAGTGAATAATTCTAATTAAATTAATTTTACTGACTTATCAATTATTGAACATTTTTAAAATTATTTATTATTATGTTACACGTTCCAATTAAATTATCGTTAGAAAAACTGGCCGACTTATTGTGTATCTGGCCGAATCTATGATGGACATGATTTAATATAATTATAGCTGTAGACTCTCACATACTTTTTTGATGGTTTTGTTTGTCTGTGGTTTGTGTACTGAACTACTGTTCTTAGCGCCACATGTCGGAGGTTCAGAACAAATTGAAATTGAATAAATGGAGTTGGCAAACTATTAGATAAAAAGTCTCTTCGTATATAGTATGCAGTATTTATTAATATTAT